CTGGATCCGCCCTTGGATGAAGCTTGCATGTTTCTGTGTGCTCCAGTTTGGAGGCAAACATTTTCTGAAATCCAGCCTGCTTGCAAGCTTTAGCAAATATCAAATAAGCGTTTGCTAATTCTTCAAAAAAAAATCAGTTGCCCGAATTTCTTGAAAATTTCACCATGTAAACCCACAGAAATCTTCTATGAATGGACAAAGATGCAAGTCTCTACCGTGGCTAGTTTGGATTTGAGGACTTTTTAGGCGTCGCCCTGCTCAAGAGCGCTGGCTGGCAGGTGTGAGCATTAGTTGGAGTCAAAGACTATTCCTGAAAAATCACTTGAAGGTTCAATTTTTATGAAATTCTCAGCATCTTTAAACCCGAATCTTCTTCTATAAATGGTCGATGACTAGCGACTTTAACTGCCCTGGTTTGGACGCAATTAATTGTTGAAACCCTGCCAGCTTGCGAGCTCTAGCAATTTTTTTATTGAAACTTTGCTTAGTCCTGGACTATTTCCCAGTCGTCCAATTTGCTAGCAGTTTTCAGCATTTGAGCCCTCAAGAAGCTTCTATCAGTTTCAGTTTGAATTTGCGCAATCCAGGAAAATCCATCCAAATACCGAGTTCACAAAAAAGTTGCTACTCAGACGCTTCAACACTTACGACTCACCAGACAACCATCTAAAACAACCTCTAACCACCAGAAAGCCACAAACTAACGAAATCATCATCATTAATCCCACCCATAACATCGCTTAAGCGTATTTACTCTGAAGGGTTCTCATCGAGTCCTGCATCGACTTTAAAGTGACGATTGGGCGTTTTGCAGGAATAGGAGATCAGATTCTCCCTGGGCCTCAGCCCCCGGATCCAGCGACATTCTGAACCAGCTAAAATCGGCAGTGGCCTCCGGACTGAAGCAAAAGTTCGTCCAACTGGCCAAAGGCTCTGCTGGGGCCGCAGCTGGCGCCTCTGCAGGATTCAGCAAAGGCAGCTTCAGCGGACATGACACTGTGGCCCATTCCTATCACGAAGTAAAAATTGATCTCGATTGGGGGATTTGGGGTAATTCTGCGTTTGGTTGCTGCAGGTGGACGAGCACAAGGGCCTGGACTCGTGGGATATGAAGAAATCGCTGCTGAACACCCTGCTGCAAGCAGTCAAGGCGATTAAAGGTGGGGTTTTAGCCATAAAGGGCCAGTTAATAAAGGGCAGTGGTTATGTGGTGGCTGGAGGTGGCAAACTGCTAGCGGCATCAGGAGACAAAGTCACCAAACTGGGAACAAACATTTTAACTAACGCGGTTTCGGCACACCCTAGCAAAGACGAACACTCACATCCCGGTAAGACTCCCATCACTGAACACACGGTATATTCATGCATTCATGCAACAAAATGCGTGCTGACTGGGGCAAGTTTTCAACTAATGAAATGTTTAGATTACGGGACGCATTCAAGCGGGTTTACAGCCCCGAGTGGGCCCCCCGTTTCGTATGACGGTCCGCCATCTTCAGGGCATGGCTACGAGAGCCACTACGAGAGTCCTTCGCATGGCCATTATCATGGTAAGTATTTTTTAATGCTCCTTTTCCCAATCAGACTTAAAAACTGTGTAGAAATTTACTGTTAAAATTGGGTGGTTGCGATGCTAAAGTTCGCAGTTTTGATGGGCGATCAGCGCACAGAAATCATCTTATGCAAGGACTTTCTTTTGGTGATTCGTGGGTGGAAAGTCGGGGCATTATATTGCATAAACAGCGGCAGTTTTGCAATGAGTTGGTCGATAAGGTTTTTTTGGCAAACTTTGTGCAACGATTTTCTGCCTGAAAGTAGGCTTTTCATTCCCTAATTAGGAAACAGTCATTGTTAGAAGTCATTGCTTATTATTCTTTGATCCACTATTAACCCAACTGATTACTTACGTTTTGTTAAAAATTTCGTTAATTAGTCACGTCGGTTAACCAGAAGGAATACTTCCGTTCTAGATGCTTATGTGATTCATTAGTCACTTATATTATTAATAAGAGCGCATGTAAGATATGGCCGAGAAATTACTTATTTAAGCTGTAGAATTTTAAGATTGCAAATCAATCGGATTGAGTGGCGAAAAAATGCCAAGAGAAAGGAGCTGCTGATAGACATCTGGACATTCTCTTTGATTCTACCCGGAAGAGAATCAGGGGGAATAAAGTGGATTTTTGGCGCAAAAAATCTCAATCGAGGTTCAGTAAAAATGTGCATAAACTTTTTGTATTTGGTCCAAAACCGTTTATTGCAAACACCCACTTTAAAGCTACAAATAACATTCTTTTTCTTCTAGTGTATAAAGCCTGATTAAATGGGAAAATATCAATTAACCCATTTGGGCCCAAATCAAAAAGGTTTAAAACAACAACACAAAAAAATATTATTTGGACATGTGAGAAAAATTAGCGTGTTTCTCGATTAGTCAATTGAACGTGGAATAAGGAGCGAATGAGCCCCAATTTAATTTTATTGGATAATGAGTGGAACAAAGCAAAGCGATTGTTAAGTAACCAGTGGGACCGAAGTGGATAGGATTATTTTGTTGCGTAACTTTTGCCAAATTTTCTCAATTATCGTAATGCAGCTTTGATTTGTTCTTGATAAATTCATCTGACTGTTTCTAGAACCCGTTTTTAATTAAGCGATTTTGATGTTTTCCCAACTTTCAACCTTAAATTTATCTTAATAATTCGTATTAGCACCTTTAAGTAACATTGAATTTGATCCAAAATTAAAATCAAGTCCTGGGTTCTTCAGTCATTTATTTATTGTTCATTTTTCAATTAAAAAAATGAACAATAAATAAATGACTGAAGAACCCAGGACTTGATTTTAATTTTGGATTTGAAACACAGTCAGGAAAGTACGTACATTGAATTTGATCTATTTAGCCTTAAACATTTTTTTCAATAAAGTTCTCTGTATTTTTCTTAAATCGATTTTCATCCCTTRGGGCAAAAATTTTCCGCCCCCGGGTGGGCTCGAACCACCAACCTTTCGGTTAACAGCCGAACGCGCTAGCCAATTGCGCCACGGAGGCTCATACYCACTTTTTCCAATTGCAGTATTTCCTAATCAAGATTTTAGCTAAAAAAGGCGAATTACAAAACGATTGGAAAGGTTACAAGTTCACATTTATCGACCCGATTAGATTGTGTAGTCAATAGATATCACGCGATCGTTGCTTGGAATCTTTGCACACACTTTTACCCATAAAATCATATTGACATTTGACATTATTTTGGACGTTTCACTTGACACAACCTTGAGTATTGATAATGACTATGAAGCGTAAATATGACAGTTGGTAGAAGAATTGTCATTTGGGTCCAAACTAAGAGAGCCAGAGAGAGAAAAAAAATAGTTCTAAAAATGTCTCCTTTCAATCAGGACTTTGTCCAGCACAGTTCGTCCAAAACTGAAAAAAAATTCTCGTTGCAGTCTTTGTCTCTTTCCGATGAAAATGATGTAGAGTTCGAGATTTTTTAAAAAACTTGATTTTTTTCAAAAATCCATCTCTTGATTATGAAATCCCCACTTATGAAAATTTCGACCAAAAATCAAAATTTCGCTATTGTGTTTTTTGCCCTTATTGGATTGTTTCCGACCTATGAAGTTGCCCAATAGCGAACATGCAAGTTGTGGGTCGATAATAAGGAAGATATCGTCCGTTGAAGATTGCGACCGCTCAAAAACCGTTCAAAATAGACAGAAAATGTTGATTTTTTGGGAACTGGAAAGGCCCCGTTGTCTTTTTATTAGTTCATTGCATTCCTTGTCTCTTTCCGATGAAAATGATGTATCAGTCGAGGTATTTTGAGAAAGGTGAATTTTTTGGAAAAATCGACCTCTTACCTTATGAAATTTTCGACCAAAAATCAAAATTTCGCTATTGTGTTTTTTG